CCCTAACCCTAACCCTAACCCTAACCCTAACCCTAACCCTAACCCTAACCCTAACCCTAACCCTAACCCTAACCCTAACCCTAACCCTAACTCTAGATGCCTATAACACAAACTCCAAAAACCCTATTCCACACCCCCTTGTAACCCTAAGATTTGCCTCTTCCTCAGCTTTGATGGCTCAGGAGATGGCGCTGGCAAGGATACGTGGGTGATGGTGCAGCTCTGCCCTGCTTCAAGTGTTGCGCTTGCCCTTGCATTCTTCTGCACTTGCAATGGTGATTGCGATGGCAAAGGTGAGAACAAGGCCGGGTAGACCGTCGTCTTTGCTTGCTTGGTTGTCAGCAAATCCTCAAGGTTGGGTGATGCTCCTGGTCAACGCAATAAGGATGCCAATGAAGGGGAGATTGGGGCTGCCAAAATCTTCACCGCAGAATCTGGGGATCCAAAGCGCAAGCCAAGGGAGCGTGGTGGCAGCGGTCGTGGCATAGCTGACTGACTTGACCAGGAGGAGAGACAATGTTGTTGGTGCTGGTGGTACCATTGGGGGCTACAGAATTGCTGAGGAGCAAGCATTTCCTGACGCTGCTTCTGAGCGGGTGCTGGCTGCGCCAACAGAGGCAAGCGCAGTGGAGGTTTTTGCGGCTGTTGGCGCAGAGACTGTTCTTGATCAAGCAGCTTCTGAGCATGCAGCTTCTGAGCATGCAGCTTCTGATCAGGTGGTGGCTGCTGATCATGCTGCTGAGCGCGCAGCCTCTGATTAGGTGGTGGCTGTGGACTGTGCTGCTGATCGTGCTGCTGACCTGCTCGAGACCTTGTCGACTACGTCGCTGGAGGGCCGAAGGCGTACTGGCTGAAGTTGAATTGTTGCGCGCACGCAACGCCTGACGCACATGTAAATGCTACTTTACATGCATCCACTATCTCATGAATACATCCATCATCACCGTATCTCATAGTTGCAGCCAAATTTTGCGCTTCACATTGGGCGAAGCGAGGGCCTCGACATGGCTGCAATCATGCAACATATTGCCTGCTCGAGCCCGTCGGAAGGAAGTCCCCGTCCTGTACAAGTCGGGCTCTCAAGGGAGAACGCTGATCGGCAATCACGGCGAGCTCCGCACGCTCGTAACCGGACGCAGTCAGCCAGCTGTCATGACCCGCGTGGGAGCGCCGGTTTCCGTAATGAGCATACGACGAGAAGGGACTGCTCCCTCGATTTCCAATGACGCTCATGCTGCTGTGCGACTTCGTTGTGATCAACCGGATGTGCGCGGTCCGAAGCGAGATTTCGCTAGACCGCGGCTGGGGGATTGTGCCCGTCACAACTTGATTAGCGTTTACCGGATTTGCGCGGCGCAATGTCGAGAACAAGGTGCCCCTTAAATTCGAGTCCGTCCCCATAACGGGCCGGCGTGCCCGTCCACCAATGAAACTACGTGCTTCGCAAACACGCAAACAGCCTCGAAGCGGCTTGCCAAGCTGAAAGCCTGCAATGGCGGCGGCATTAAAGGAATGTTCGGGGTTCCTAGTCTCCCGACGAGCTACGCAAAGCGACCCGAAATGTGTACATGCTTGCTACTATCTGCTGCGCATACAGGTTCGGCACTGTGAAGACGCTCGGGGTCCACTTGTGATGCCTCATCCGTCGACTCCGCTGGTGAAGACAAGCCACACGACATGCAGCTTGGCATGTCTTGGTGCTGACGTGGCGCTCGTCCTAGTCCCGGATTCTTTTCGATGTCTGCGGTATAAAGGCGCGGAGCACCTGCCCCGGTCCGCCTCTTTCACCCCACGCCCCACCTCTCATCCCTGCCTTCTCCTCCTCGTCGAATCATCTCATCACCCGTACCTCCTAACATCCTCTCAACATGCAGCTTCGCAACTTCTCTCTTCTGCCCCTCGTGGCTCTGGTCACTCTGATGCTGAGCGCGGCATCGCAGGTGCACGCCTGGAACAAAGCGACCCGGCAGCTCGAGGGACACGTCGAGTCCATGAACGGCCACATTAAGACTTTACACTCGTCGTTTGTTGCATACCTCGGCGGTGACCTGTGAGTAGGCGTGACGCCAGCTTGAAGAACGATGAGCATGGCCGTAGAATAAGGGGACAGCTCCCGAGTGCCTCGACAGCTGACTTACTCGCCTATACCGTACATACAGTGGTCAGACTGGCACCGCTGTGGAAGCTCTGGGCAACCTGACCACCGACCTTCACTCTGCTTCTAACGACTTGTCCGTCTTTGAGATCAAGATTCAGGGAGAAGACGTCAAGGATATCCTCGCCGATCTCCAAGTTGGGTGAGTATTCGCAGTGGTGTGGAGCCAGCACGTCATCGCCCCTAGTGCTGGTGAAGTTGCTGATCTGCTGCTGCCCCGCACGATCGCAGTCAGACCGAAGTCAGCAAAGTCGTGAATGCTCTCATCGGAGCCAAGGAGCTTCTGAAATCGAGCCAGAACGACTTCTTCATCAAGCAATTCTTGCCCCCACTCGGACGCGCCTTCAACAGCTTCTCGACTCTCGTGGCTATTCAGGCCGACAAGAAGTATGCCGATGCCTTGGACAAGACTTCTTCCGGAACCGTGGCTTGGATCAACTTTGGTCTTGTCAGCTTCGGCTTGGCTCGCATCAGCGCCGACTGGCTCCCAAGCTTTGGCCCTGCTCCCTGCGACAGCTACAACGAGGACAAGCAGCACTGCAAGAAGGTCGCGCTGGCTCCTCTGAAGAAGCGTGGTCTGGCTCCCGAGATTCGTGCTGACCGCATGTGAATGAAGTCGTGGCCACTCGTCGACGGCGCGCTGCAGCATGCCGGTCCAAACGCAACAGCCCTTGGCAAAATGCCAGACCTTTGCAGAGGTGCCATTGCGATGACCTTCCGAGAGATTACCTTGACCAATACATGCCACTTGTCCTTTCATTGTCAAAATGCGACATGTTTTGCCGAGCTCAACTCCAGGTGTGCTCCTTTCATCGTGAGCTCAATGTACTCCAAACACAGCAGACTGTGAAGCGAGTGAGCTTCTGCTCGCGAGTGCGCATGCGAAGGCGATTTTGTTGGCCTGCCTCACGGGTCAGCGATCCCTACAGCAGCCTTGGTGAATTCCAAGGGAGTGCACGGAATTCAGGCATACCAGCGAGCGCTAGCCGCGAGTCGCAGGCGGCAGGCAGACAGGTTCGAGTCGCGCCTCGAGCGACTCGCGCACCTCCGAAGTTGAGTGGTGGCTCCGCGGTCAAAGTTCGACCGCGGAGCGAAGCGAAGATCTTCTACCGCCGAAACTCCATGACGGACCGCTATGCGTTCGCTGGCTGCGCCAAGTCGCGACAGGAACATCAAGTAGAAGACTGCGCGATGCATCAGCTTCACGCGGTTGCCTAGCAGAGCTTGGCGTCCTGCGAGAGTTTGAGCCAGCGACGCACTGCGCTCACTGCGATGCCACTCTGTTTGAGCAGACAATTTGCACCGGTAAGTATTGCGCAACGCTGGTCTGAGTGCAGAGAAGATTCGGGGAGAAATGCGCAGCCAGCGACGCCAGCACAGTCAGCAAAACACACAGGCAACAATGGCAAGCATGTATGCCGTGCCGCCACGTACAAGAAGGCGAAAGAAGCGACCTTAAAGAACGGTCGCTTTCCTCCTACGCGCCTGGTCGTTTTCCCACCCCTCCGTCCGCACCACCTCGATCGTATCCTGCTCACCCACATCCAGTCGTAATCTGACGCTATCGCCGCCCCCTCTCCTCACGCTCCCAAATCGCCCACTCCATCATGCGTCTGCTTGTTCCATTCGTGATCCTGAGCATTGTGCTCGTCCAGGGCACCGCTGCTTGGAACCCGACCACGAGAAAGTTGGAGGAGACCGTAGGCTCGATGAACGAGCACATTGGAGCACTGCTCTCATCCTTCTCCAAGTACCTCGCCGGCGATCTGTAAGTCTCGACACTCTTGCTCCTCTCTTGTGCGCACCCTGACGCCAGCACTTGCGATTGTTCCAGTTCTCAGACTGGTTTGGCCGTCGCGGCTGTCACCAACTTGACCGCAGATCTCCACACTGCTGTGAATGACCTCGCATCGCCCGAGGTTGAAGTCCAGGGCGAAGACGTCCAGGACATCTTGGTGCTTCTTGGCTATGCGTGAGTGCCTTCGGCTACTCGACGTACATAGATCCATTGATCGGTGCATGCGCTGACCATGGACTCGCCAATGATTCCACTTCGCAGCTCCGGCAACGTCACCGCGACTGTCCAGGCGCTGGTGCAGAATCAAGACCGAATGAAGAAGAGCGGTGTCGACGGATTCGTGGACCAGCTCCTCCCTCCTCTCGGCCGCGCTTTCAAGACCTTCTCCTCTCTAGTCACCATCCAGTCTGACAAGAAATACCGCAACCAACTCTACGAGGCCACCGCAATCATCGTAGCGTGGATCAACTTTGGGCTGGTGGCTTTTGGCAACTCGAGAGTGAGCGGAGACTGGCCTGTCGGAGATGTCGACCATCCTTTCGACCCTCAACCTTGCGACGGCTACCAGGACAAAGGTGAAGAGTGTCGAGAGCTCCAGCAGCCACCAGCAGCGGCCTAATCGAAATGCCGACGATCTCGATCGGTATACTGATTTGACGTTGACCGCAGAGCGCTTCCTTGGCTGGGTCGAGTCGCCGCATGCTGCGTGGTGCGGAGCTCGACGCCTCTGAAAGTCGCGTTCAAGCTGCCTCACGCTCCTCCAGAAACCCCATCCAAGCCCCTCCTCAGACCAATGTGCCCAACCTGTTCAGCCTCACTTCCGAATTCCATTCCAATGCCATACGCGAACTCGCGCCCCTACCAAGCGCGTCCCTGAATGCGAGAGGGCACGCACATTCGCTCTTAGTGCGAGTTACTGCGCCTTGAGAGGGGAATGAAGGTGAGACCTCTCGTAGAATGCCTATCTGCGATGCGCTGGTCCACGTGCGTCGGCTCCTGACGCGATCCGCGCGCGCACGCTCCTGTTCGCAAACAAGACGTAATTGAGGAAACTTCGACGTGGAGCCCCCTTCCGACAGCTCCGCTCGGGTCGGTGTTGTGAGATAGCATGACAGCGCGTCGATCCTCATGTCATCCCCTCGCGGCGGATTGATGCCTCCCCACACCTTGCGCATGCTCTCGTTGATCTTGTGGCCCGAGAGTGGACTGTGCCATGCGGTTCTCGAAAATGTTGCCGATCCCCGTCGATGTGACGCGATCAACCTGCAAGGCGGACGCTCGCTAAGAGAAGTCCTTGCGATCCTGCCTGCGTTGCTGGGGGTCAGTCACGAGTGTCCGGCCTCGAGGTGCGAGCCGCCGCAGCACGTAATTGCTGACGGAAGCACCGAAAGCGTCATGGAGCAGGGTCGCAAACGAACCGCGCAGTCGTCCTTGATCCGTGATGCGAGTTCCGCGCCTCTCGATCGATTCACAGCAACGTGAACATGGTGGAAAGACAGCTTCGGAGGATTCCGCCCATGCATGCGAGGGTGATGGATGATGCATCCGGCCCGGGCCCGTCCAACCCACCGTGGACTGGACTCAGTCGCTGATGCCGTCCAGCCCACCGTAGACTTGATTGACTCTCTGGCTGCAGAACCACGCATCTTTGTGCGGCTCGCACGCGCCCCGAGCCACGTTTTCGAATGCCAAGGAACGACGAGCGCAGTGCCGACATTGGAGGGCGAGCAAAGTGAGGTGACTTGGCTTGAGGCAGCGCTGCAATTCCGACGTAGGTACGGGGACTTGCCTACCTGGGTGGCTTGAGCTAATGCAGTGATGCTGTGCCGCGCGGCAGAAAACTGCTGCTGTGTCAGCAATCGCAATAGGGCCGGCCGATTCGAGCGCGACGAGAAGTTCGCGAAGGGATTGGTTGCCGTCATGAAAGGGTCAGTCAGTGAGCGTGCGCGCGCGCGCAAGCTCCTGTGCGTCCAGCAGAGCCGACTTCGACGCGACCGCTTAGCGCGGATGGGCCTGCTGGCGTGCATCGGTTCATGCATACGCTTTGCAGCTCCGCTCTGATTGTTTGCGGAGCGTGACAGGAGCAAGAGCAATGCCCTTTTCTGGCCTCGCATCAGTGCATCGCGTGAAAGGGGATCCGACGGCGAATGGCGCGCCTGAGGCCAAGGGTCGTGCAATAGCTCTGGCGCGTGCGAATCGGGGGATCATGGCTGTTCTGCGCGTGCAGGGGCGCACGCGCCCTTCAGCAAGCAAATAGAAAAGTCGGCTAGTTTTGATGCCGCTCCTAGCGAAGGCGGAGTTTTGCCTCCCGCCCCTTCCGCGTTTTCTCTTGCTTTATCATGGCCCCCTTCGCCCTTACTACGTCTTGACGTTTTCCATCCTCGCGCACTGCAAAGAGGCACGAGCAGAGCTTCGAGTCCCGTTGACGCGATCGGACACGTCCCTCCCTCGTCGGGCGAGCACGCTGCTCTATCCGGAACCAGTCCTGGAGAGCCTAGCTCGCTTCGATGGTCGTGCGCCGTCGGAGTGTTCATATGAATGAGCGTTGCGTGGTCGCTGCGCGAGAGCAGAGGTGGAGCTGGGCGCGAAGTCTCGCAGTGGACAATGCCGTTTCGGCAAGACGCAAGCGAGCTCGTAAATGTCCAGTCGTACCTCATTTCTGCCTGCTTGCGTAACGAATGAGAAAGAGATTCGACAGCTCATATACCCAGACATTCGTCAACTTAGCATGATCAACCAGGAGCGGCTGCTCAAGGCGACTCGAGCAAATGAGCTCGTGTGTTTTAGAGGGTGCAGGTGCCTGCAGCTCCTTTCCAGGATAGCGCGGAAATTTTCCCACCAAGCAGCGCGGCGGCTAGCATGCAAGCCTCTGTGCGAATCCAGTAGGGCTTGGCAGGTTGGTGCACTTCGGCAGCGGGCCGGTCACGCAACGCGCAACGCGCATCCGCACACGTTTCCGCTCCTTTCCCATCATGCGTCCAAATGACAAGACCCTCACGGCGATCCCTTCATTTCGCCTCGGATGGACATGAGACACTGGAGAGAAATCTTTTGTCGAAGCCCTGCCCCTTGAGCATCGGCTGACCTGACGGGCCCCTTCATTCGCTTCCCGTTGCAACAGACTCTCTTTTCTGCTTCGTCGCCCAAGCCCATCTTCTAAGGTTTCGTCCCTGTCTTGCCCGACGCCCGCTCCGAACCTTGTATAGACTTTTGACCGTTCCACCGCCGCTCTGTGACTGGTAGGCTCTTGTAACAGGAGGATCCAAATCTGTCAAGACCGACACTGCTCCACATCCGGCGCATCTTTAAGAGGCCCAGTCGCACGCTCGATTCGCCAATCCGCTCCGCTTCGACCACGATCCTCCAGCTTTCCTTCCTCTCCATCTTTTTGGCTCACCTTCCCCCCCAACCCCTTCCCTCGATCGTCATGCAGACGCTCGCATTCGCGGCCAAGCTGCTCGCGGCATGCTCGCTCGCCATCTACACATTCTCTATGCCCTCCAACGCGCGACTATTGGACCCACGACAAGCTAATGGCTTTGTCTCTCCCTCCGTCGATCCCTTCTACAGAGGTGCGTAGCTCCACAAGGTCGCGCGGCTAGCTCGCAGCTGACCCTCATTCTCCGTTTCCTCATCAAGTGCCGGCCAATATCTCGAGCTACAAGCCTGGAGATGTGATTCGCTCGCGCAAGGTCTCGACGTACGCCACGTCGGCCAAGACGAGCTACCAGGTGCTGTACGCCTCTTCGCTCGCCAACACCACCACCTACGACGTGGCAACAGACGCTACCGTCACGACGCTGCTCTCGCCCTACTTCCCAGCAGCCGGACCGATGAAGATCTGGGGACTCGCCCTGCCCATCGACTCGACCGGCAAAGACTGTCAATCCTCCTTTTCTTTCCAGCTCGGCGCTCTATCCAAAGCCAAAGTTACCGCCTTTCCAGCCATCTTTGGTGTGATCTCAAACTACGCCCTCAACAAGGGCTGGTACGTATCGGTCCCCGACTATATGGGAAGCCAAGCTACGTGGATCAGCGGCAACGGCGAAGGTTTCGGCATGCTGGATGGTGTTCGAGTCGTGGCCAATCACAAGGAGACCGTCGGCTCAAAGTCCACCAAGGACGCCAAGATTGCCATCTACGGCTACTCGGGTGAGTCGACGCTTGCTCGCGCTCGGCTGGGTGTGTGCGCCAAGTCACGCAACTGACAAGGCGCATTCCCTCTCACTTTCCGCAGGTGGAGCGCATGCCGTCTCTTGGGCAGGTCAGCTTCACCGTTCGTACGCTCCAGCGCTCAACCTCGTCGGAGTCGTGTCTGGCGGTATCCCCGTGGATGTCAAGGAGATGCTCTCCCAATTGAACAAGGGCACGTTCAGCGGCTTTGTGCTCGGTAGCATCGCCGGTGTAGCAGCAGCCACTCCAAAGCTGCAAACCTGGCTGGATACCAACCTGAACGCGCAAGGCAAAAAGGATATCTACGCTACGAGAGCCACGGGAGGTGACTCTCAGTGCATTCTCGACTTGCTGCTCAGAAACCTGAACAAGGACATCAACTCGTACTTTGCCAACAAGGACTGGCAAAATGATCCTACCGTCAGCAGCTCCTTGGACGAGAATACTCTGGGCTACGGATCGGAAGGCCAGATCCCCGGCACGCTGCCCCAGCTCATCCTCCAGTCCCAGACCGACGAGATCATCTCGCCTGCCCAAGTGCAGTCCTATGTCGACTCGCAGTGCGCGGGCGGTGCGAATATCAATTACCAAAAAATTGGCACTGGAGAGCACATCGCTACCGCTTTCCAAACCTTGCCAATCGCTCTGCAATGGACCAGCGGTGTGCTGGACGGGACGCTGAAGCAGTCCGGCTGCCAAACCACCGATACGCCCTTCTTGCCCCTGCTGAGTCAGAACAAGGACGCCAACAAGATCCTGGGCGTCGATATCGTTAGCGCACTCAAAAAGTACGAAGGAACCGACTTTGGATTCAACGGCATCAAATTCAAGTAGGCACAAGCAGGGCCAGCCCGTCCCCTTTGCGCGCATCCGGCTAGCAAGTCCGGCCATTGGACGGGCCCGCATCACACCCCACACAACACTACCTACTCACCTGGACAATCGTTTCATCCCCCCCCCTCTGGCTTGCAGCCATCCTTCGTCTTCGCCCTTGCGCCTTGTATTATCGTCCCCCCCACCTTTTCACAGCTCCAACGTCATCCATCCGCTCCAGGAGCACTTCCTGGCCCGCATTCTCGCCGAAGATCCATCCTCTCCGCTCGCATGTCGCACCTCGTACGTCGCAGACGGCTGCTCGCGATCCGCGATGCGCAATGGTACATCCATCTCGTCTGACGTCGTGTCAGCCGCTTATGCCGAGCCTGTACGAAACGTGTCTTGCGCCTGCCTGAGTCCCCGCATACATGGTCGGCAATGTCCCTCCGCGCCCAGAAAGGGGGCTTTGGTAGCGCAATCGATGCTGATTGACCCGTTTCATCCGCTGTTTCCCTGCTGTAGTGCCACTTGATCGGCGCCGCTCCGCATTGCCGGTCGCCAATTTGTCCATGGCGCAAATCTTGGCATGCACGCCGGCCATTCGCACCGCTCCGCAATGCCGTCAGACCAAAAGCCACACCGGCAGCCTTCGAGTTCTCTGCGTTCCTTGTGTGCCGTGAAATCTGCCGCACCGGCTTCATCTCGCCAGGCAGTAGGATCCCTCAGTAGCGCCTTCGATGGCGCATACATGCCGACCTCTGAGGTTGAGTGGCGTCGTTGGAGACCGCAGATCTTGCTGGCCCATCGACGGAAGCATTCATGCGGTGGTGGATGCCACATGTGTGGGCTGGTCAAAGGAAAGGGGAAGACGCTGGACGCTGTCGTCGGCGTCGGCGTCGGCGTCGGCGTTGGCGTGGACGCTGTCGTTGAGGTGAGGTGATCCTGCCTACAGCGAGATGAGGCTCACGCATGGCTGGGACAGCCGACAGCCGACATGCCTGACCTCTATCCAGGCGTCACGGCGTGCATTCGGATCTGCAAGCGCTCATGCGCTAGCAACTTTGCAAAGCTTGACAGGAGGGGTGTGGATCGAGCCCATCGCGGCGCCGTTTGGGCCGCGTGAAGATGGCTGACCCGGTCGGTGCGTTTGCAGCTCACATGAGCGCCTGGCTGAAGCTGATAGGCCGGCGCAAAGATCACAGACCGAGCCTCCGTGCGCTGGATTGAACGAGGTAGGAGGCTCTGCAGTGTGAGGGAGGAAGAGGGGCAGTCACTAGTGTGAGAGGGGAAGAGAAGGCAGAAAGGGTAGGCCTTGCTCAAAGCGGGGAAACACAGCATCAGCGCCAAATGCGAGCGTGACCTTGCTGCACTGAGTCACGTGAACGACCGGCCCACAATGGAACTCCGCGGCGTGCCGCACCGCCGCTCACGCGCTCAGACGCGCGTGAGCAGCAGGCGGAGGGATCGGAGAAGAAAGACGGAGACTTTTTTTGTTCGAAGGTGCTTCCTTCGCTTTGAGAAGGCACCACGATGCATGCGCAACGATGGTGAGCGTGTGCGCGTGAGGGGACCAGCACTTTCTGAGCTGGAGGGCGGCATCTTTAGACACGATCGCGATGCGCGGACGGCGAGAGAGGGAAACGGAGAGCGGGAACGGAGGCGGAGGCGGAGACGGAGACGGAGACGGAGACGGAGACTTATACAGGGACGGAGAGTTGTTCGGGGTGGTGAGAGGTGGCGTGGGCGCTGATACGGTAGCTTGAGCCGCCGCGATCGCCTAGAGGCAATCTCGCGAGGTATGATTGTTCTGCCTACCGAAGCTCTACGCCATTCGAGAGAGATATAAAGTGGGCGCCCCCTCACCCACCGCCATTGTCGATGTCCAGTTCCTCATCACCGGCACACACACGCGCGCAAGCATCTCCTCCAATCTCAAGCCACATCTCCAGCAGCTAGCTCGTACATCACGCCACGCAAAACCGATCGAATCAATGAAGATTGTCATCCTTGGAGCGTCTAGAGGATGCGGACTCGCGCTCTTGAAGCGTCTAGTGTTCGATGACGCAGCAGCATCGCAGCACACCATCCATCTCCTCCTTCGCAACCCCTCCTCTTTCAGCCAACACCTCTGCACGCTAGGCATGTCATTGCCGTCCAGCGTACACCTGCATCAAGCCGATGCGCTCTCCATCTCCTCTCTTTCTTGCGCCTTCCAATCCATTCGAAAACACGGCGGCAAGGTGGACCTGATCGTCTCTTCGCTCGGAGCTGTGCCTGTTTTCGAGTGGAAGAGTGGACTGAAACCTCGACTGCAAGCAGGTTTGGAGAGGATCTGCGCCGATGGAACAAAGAACTTGCTCGATGTGATGCGGGACTCGACGGCCCCCACGCCCGCGTTGATCGTGGTCAGTTCCAACGGTATCGGCCAAGAATCGCTAGAGAGGCTGCCTTGGATTCTGAAATTCTTCTGTGAGTGTCGAGATGAGGCCCCGATGCGGCCATGCTGTCCCAACAGAGCTCGCAGCTGACGATGTAACTCCCGACCTGCTCCAGATCACCATCTATTGACCCATCCGCATGCCGACAAGCACGAGATGGAAGAGCTGTTGCACAGAGCGTACGGACTGCACTCCGACGACTTTAACCCCAGCGCCAAATCCAGCTCGGAGCGCTCCGCCGCGCCCTTTGATCCTTCGAAGCTCCTCATCGTTCGACCTTCCCTGCTGACCTCCGGTGCTCGGACCGGGAAATACCGCATTTCAGAGGCAGGAAGCACGTTGGACAGTGCGTGGACCATCTCGAGAGAAGATGTGGGTCACTTCATCGCCGAGAGCATCAACGAAAGCGCCGGCGAGGCTGGATCAAACGCGCTCAATAGGAGCGGAGCTTACGTGGTAAGCTACTGAGGAGCTCCTTCTTCGCACGGGAGACCACGTGGACCGCTAGAAGTGCAGGCGAGCTGGGTGTCCTCAGCCAGACTCGAGCTCGGGCGGCATCGCTGCGAGAGCGGCGAGATCTTCCGATCCCCACGGCTCGCCCCACATCGTACTTAATGCGTCCGATACGAATGACGTATCCGCGTCGCCTTCTGCTTCCGATTGTACATACGCGGGGCTGATCGCAATTGTAGATGGTGCATTCGACTGATCAGCAAATCCAGATAGGAAGCGATGCAAGTCCAGGGAGTCCCATTGCGCTGCAGTGAAGCTCGTCGAATCGAGCCCATGTTCAGATTGTTGCGCGACGTTCAGAGGCGGGCCGTCCTGAGGGGGAGTGTTGTCCGCTCGCCACTGCCTTCTCGTCAGGTCAAGGTTGACAATGTTCAACCTCGCTTTGCTCGCTTCGATACCTGCGTTGCCAGCCAGTCTCTCGTGCGCGCAGAGCTGTTCTAGCTCTTTACAGACGGTGAGCGCATTGGGCACGCTTACCCACTCGTTTCGACGCGCGTACTCGAGGAGTGCGACTCCAACTTTGATGAATGAACCAATCAGGAGGCAGATGGTCGGCACGTCATCTGAATCAAGACCCTGCTGATCGGAGATAGCAGGGCCAAAGGAGATTTTGGAAAAAACTCGGTGGTCCTGGCGAGGTGCTTCGAGGAGTTTTGCGAGTCCATGCACTGCCCTCAGATGCGTCCATACAGTTTCCAAGGACTGCCATCCGGTAGTATTGGGCTTCAGCTGGCTTAATGAAAGCCCGATCGCCAAGAGGCTCCGCGCAGCGCTCCCAAACGAGCTCAAAGTCGGGTCTTGGCTCTGCAGCAGTCCCCTGTGCGACTTGCTGTTGCCGACCAGTGAGGCTACCAGACTAGCACTTTGGAAGAGAGGGGACAAGCTGCGCTGCTTGCTGCCGAGTGGTGCGCGAAGCAAGTCGCCGCATGTCCACGCGCCATCGACCTTTGCCGAAAGTCTCTTGAAGACGCTTCTGCAGTCTGCAGCTGTCGATGTGCTGCATGCCAGCGAGAGGAGTGCCCAAATCTCAAAGGATGCGATAGTTGCGCGGAGAAGCGTGGTCGAAGGTGAGGCATGGTCGAGCCTGGACACGTCCCTTTCGAGCAAGTGGCTCGAGAGAGCTAGGTATGCAGTGCCTATCTTGGCGCGTCCTCGGCACATGTGATGCATCGCCAGCATGAGCGAGAGAAGTGACAGCGTTGCAGTCTCGTCGTCGTCCGAAGCAGTGATCACGCATTCCATGAAAGCGCCTTCTGCTTCGCGCAGCAGGCGCTTACTGTCTTCCGCAGTATTGTCCGAGCTCGCATCAAGCTCCAAGGCCTCAGACAAGCTCAAGTGCCACATTGCATTCAGCGACGGCGAGCTTCGTCTTTCCTGCTCCGTCATCAGCTTTGGCTTTTGCGATGCTTCGAGCAGACAAGCGAGCGGATGAAGCTTTTCCCACTTGAGGAAAAGCGCATCCTCTCTGCTGGAGCTGCTCGTGCTCGCCACAGGCTGCACGAACGCGTCCAGATCCAGCTCGTCCCTCTCACCGACCTTGAGCTCATGCGAGTCTCTGGTGAGAGCGATGGCATAGTAGCGGTCCGTCTTGAGCTGCAAATCAGGCGCTAGGTGCGAGATGCACATTTCTAGCAGTGCCGTATTCATCAGCTGAATGATGGCCGGGTATGTGGAGGATCCGCAAGGGATCTGGTCAGCTTCCTCAGCTGCATCCGGGGCGCTGAGATGGGCTTGATGCTGCCGAAACTTCTCGAGAGCAGTCTTGAAGGCCGAGCAAGAAGCGCTCGTATCTCCGCATGACGGCTGGAAAGACGTAGCTGAAGAGGAGGGGACCGGGTGACTGCGCTCGATGCCGACCTGGAAGATGTCGTCATAGGCATCCGAAAGAAGTGCGCCTATGCTCTGCTCACGTCTCCTCGTGGCCGTCGACGCAGGCTTCGACCCGTCTGCCACCGTCGAGCTTGTCCGAGCGCGCTTCAAAGGTCGACCCATCACCGCTCGATCATCGTGAATGCATTCCTGACCGCGAGCCAGGCAAGCCTGACACGGCACTTGCTGAATGCCGTCCTGAGGCGCAGGCACACATTTCTGAAGCAGCGAACAAGGCCATCAGCGTCAGGTGACACAAGAAAGTCACGCGGTGCAGGCAGCTGCACCCCGAAGCTTCCGCACTCACCAATTTGCGTGCGCGGCAGAAGCGGCAGGATGCTCGGGCAGGCATGGCATCGCTGACACTGCTGCTATCTATCGAAGGCGCCTGTCTAGCGGTGCAACACGAACCGCACGCAAAGGCCTGCAACGCCGATTGGAGCGCGCGCTTCGAGGTGGCATCGTGGTCGCAAGCCAAGAACGCCGGGCCCAAGTCATACGGGATCTTTGCTCAGCAGCAGCCTGCCTGCCTCCCGTCGCTGCTTTGCTGCGCTTTTGCCCTCGACTTGTTGCAAATGCAGGCACCGCGCGCGCGTGCATCCACCGCGTGTCCGCTATACGCGCTGCTGCACAGCAGCACCCGCGGCGAACGATCAAAAGCAAAAAAGGATTGTGCGCGCGCAAGGTTCGAACCCGCGGCGCGCGTGTGTGTGTGTGTGATGATATTGTATATCTCACTAGAAACTCTTAATCATTATTTGAATTTCTCTTTCATATTTGCATAGTGTGTGTGGGACGGAGTCGACCGCCGGCGTTTGCGCTCTGTGCCTCCTCCTATTAGTCCGATCCCCGCCACTTGACCGGTTGGCTGGAACTTTATGAACATTCGGCGCAGACTGTCTGATGATCTACCCACTGCAGTGGGCCGGCTGGAGACTACGCGTCGAAGGGGGAGAGCGCAAAGCGCCCCACTAACCCCCCTCTCCGCTGACATCCCTAGACCTCCCCGAAGGGAGGCTTTCCAGAATATCCCAAGGCATCCGCACCCTCTGCCACCGTGAGGTAAATTGGAAAATCCAAGGGTCTAACCGTTACGCTAGGTTCACAAGTACCGACTTGCCGCACAAGGTTTATTCGCGGTATATAAACGCGTCGCCTCCACGCGCATGCAGGCGCGCGCGAGCGCGCGCGCGCCCCCGCGTTGCCTGCAGGGATCGGGGCGTATACCGCCGGCGCTTGAGTTGCACCTTTGTTTGTGGCTTCTGCCGGGCGTTCCACCATTCATGAAGGCTCGCTCTGGCTACGACTTCTTTCATCCTCGACTAGATCGTACAGATGCAATTGCTAATAGAATCCATGTCGTGGTCTTTATACAAGTGAGGCCGGATACAATGGAAGGTGGGCACGGGCACCGCCAGCTTCGAGCAGGTAGCTTGCGCTAGCAGTGCCAGGTGCACGCAGAGACGAGGCAGGAGATCGACTGGGAGGGGCACCGGGATCAAGAGGCTTCGAACGTGTGTAAATTTCGATCGAGGGGGTTCGTGGGGGATGCGGACGTTGTCTTCAGAATACGGAACATTCGTTAAGTAGGGCTTGCTGTCGCGATGGGGACGCTGGTAGCACTGCTAATGGAGCATCTAAGGCTGTGCCTCACCATCGGCGTAATTGGGTCACCTCTTCTTGCTAGGAAGCGGGCGTCGGAGCCTGGGATGGTTGCCGAGACCGAGGAGTGGGCTTCTGACTCCAGTCAGTCCTTGGCTTCATCGCTCGAGGCTGCGGCCTCACGCCTAAGCTCCGGAAGCGTTGAGGTCCCCAGGCGTGTGAGGCGATTGCACTCAATAACCACGCCCGCAGCAAGACATCGCATGTACCTGACGTAGCGCTCGTACCATTCCTTGTGTTGCATTGCGTCGACGCTGTTGTGAAACGCCTGCTTGGGAAGTCCGGGTTCCACATCACGCCACCAGTTCCCGATGACGTCGTCATCTAGGATAGGATCAAATACGTGATGAAACACGTCCTCTGGTGTCAGGTCAGCTGGTAGATCGGCTATCTGCGTCCCTTCGGGCAGTGGTGCCGTCGGCGATGCTTTCCGACGGCGAGGCCAGTCGACCAGCCAGATGACGCCGCATATACCGCCTAGCACGTAGGTAAAGAGGAAGGCAGGGCTGTCGCGAGAGTATCCGAAGCGAAAAAACGTGGCCAACAGCACGCCACCACACATGTACAATAGTTGACCAAGGAGTCCTCCGGCTTTGTACCACCGAATAGACCATAGAACATGAGAAGATGAGCTCCAAGCCAAGATGGCCGTAGTCTCCAAAAATCCTATGAACGTTGGATCGATGCGTTCCTTCAACGTCTGCTGGTCTACATTTAGGCTCTCCCGTTGTTTCAAATATCCATCGAGAAGATAGGGATACGGTTCAGAAGCGAAGTGTTCAGCAAAGTAGATCCTGACGTAAGCGTTGCATTCGTCGACGAAAAGGTCCGTAATTTGGGGTGGAAGGCAGCGCGTTACGACTGCTGTGACCCGATTTCTATCCCTTTTCCCAGACATCCAAACGAGTCTCTGCCGCTGAGCTTTTTGATGGTCACTCTCGAGCTGTTGACGAGAAAGCTCGAAGGCGTCGCGTGAAGGGGCGTAAAGATCGTTGACCCCTGGGTGATGGCTGCCTTCTGGCTGTGCAGCCTGCAAAGGGCGTATGCGACGACGAAGCCCTTCTTGCAAGCCCGGTCGGTCGACTATCTCATTATCGAATGCTTCTTGGGTCTGCGTTCCAGACGTCAATATGCCTTCTGCCGCGGCTTCCTCTTCCAAGCCCGATCGGTCGGCTAATCCATTATCGAATGCTTCTTGGGTCTGCGTTTCAGACGTCAATATGCCTTCTACCGCGGCTTCCTCGTGCAAGCCCGATCGGTCGGCTAATTCATTATCGAATGCTTCTTGGGTCTGTGTTCCAGTCGAGGTGCCTTCCACCGCGGCGACCTCCGCCATCTCCAAGTCTGGAGAACTGTGGAGAGGAGGCGCTTCTAGCAAGCCCGGTCGGTCGGCTATCTCATCATCGAATGCTTCTTGGGTCTGCGTTGCAGACGTCGAGGTGCCTTCTACCGCGGCGACCTCCGCCACCTCCAAGTCTGGAGGACTGTGGAGAGGAAGCGCTTCTTGCGAGCCCGGTCGGTCGCCTATCTCATTATCGAATGCTTCTTGGGTCTGCGTTGCAGACGTCGAGGTGCCTTCTGCCCCAGCGCCCTCCGCCGTTTCCCGATGTGGAAAGCACCACTTAGAAAGGCTTGCTCGCAAGGATCGTTCCTCACCTGCTCTACAAGCGTGAGCCCATTGCATCACATTCGGATTGATATGTAGGCCCTTGCGTTTGGGTCGGGATGACGAGAGTCCTTCGCTCTTGGCAAACTGGTTGGTGTCTCCTGCGCTAGCAATCCGAGACTCTAGATCAATTTGCTCTTGCATCATGGTGATTATCTCTCGTGCGGACACCGGATCTGCAGGCAGCTGAGCAGCCAACGAGAGGCATCTCAGCCGCTGGAAGCTCTGCCATTTTGACTGGGCCGACAACCAACGTATCTCAAATTTCAGAAGGTAGTCATCAGTGTACACACTAGACGACGGAGTGGGCCCCAGTCCCACGGTGCTGGATCGCCCCGCAGCGGACTCCTGGTCCAAGTCTTTATCCCGAAGCTCTGCGTCGATCAGTGCGCCGACCGTTGAAGAATCAAAGACAAATGCCTCTGCGTATTTCTTGAAATACGCGTAACCCTGGTTGCTGAGCTGATCCTTGAGATGGCATTCCTGATAAGCATTCAACCCAGTGATGCTGGCATCCGGAAACTTTGCCGTGGCGTCGCCGGCCTGGGCTCCGTGGTAATACCTACAAAACTCGTCGTGGGCTTGCATGGCCACAGATCAAGCTCGTCAGGTGTTGCAGATTGAGGTTGATGGGGTATGTATGTTGCAGGGCAGCGCCTCGCGCACGGAATGTGGATCAGGCCCAATACAGCCAGAGGAGTGCTGTGCGCGCTGGACCGGGAAGTCGTGTCGAAGTGTCAAACAGCCGATTGATCACGAGGCGTAAAGCGTGAGGTTGCCGGATGATGGTGGAACGCAGTTGAGAGGGGCAGCAATGCTGCAGGTGCGTCTACGACAACGAAGCCTTGTGGAGAGGGTGCATGACTCGTCGCTGGGCGCGATAATCGCTCTGTGTATCAAGGCCACCGATCTGTGTGCATGCGCGCGATCGGCTTTCAAACTCCGTCATGACCGTGCATGGTCGACTTGGCTTGATGCAGCTCCGCGGCACCAGGCGGACAGACATCGTACTGGCCGTGCGGCAGACCAGATGATCTCGCGAGGGTACAGGGAGCTCACAAAGGGCCGGGCATGCAACTTCCCCGCTGGCTTGGCCCGTGGCATGCCCCCGTATATGTCTTTGACATCACGAGGAAGTTGGGCGGTCGTCCAGACGACGTTCCGGGTGCGGGTGTAGATGATAAGGCGGCGCAAAGCAAGAGCTTGACGTCGAGCTCACACGCATAGGAGCAGGTTGCGAAGTCAAGCTGGGCATTCGTGCCCTGATCGTGAATACCTGTACCTAAAGCCTGCTGCCTTTCGTGCGCAGTACGCCTCAAGCTGCATTGGACCCTAGCTGCTGCAGCTCGTGTGCGTTGCCTGTCATGATCTAGGCACGAGACCAGTGCATGCGGACGGCGGAGACCCGAGGCGCGCTCTCATGCCGCGTCAGTGTGAGTCTTGAGGCGAATGAGGGGGGGGGGGGGGGGGGGGGGGGGGGGGGGGGGGGGGGGGGGGGGGGTGGGTCCTGAGGGCAAGCGGAGCGGCCAAGTCGAAGTCCGCCCGCGCGCGTCGAGTTCGAGGGAGACGAGCCCACAGCCGCAGGGCTCGAGCGAACTGAAAGCGCCTTGGTTGCATCAGCTGCAGTCTGACTGGCTTTCCGCTCGAGTTGAATGGCCAAAAGCGGACACCAGGCAAAGTGCCAGCGATGGGGCGAGATGGACCGAGTGAATGGCAGGCAAAAGTATCGCTCCATGACGCTCGCCACAACTCAATCCCCATGACTTCCAACCTCCCACCAACGAAAGACCCTCCAGCCCTGCTCGTACTCAGGCTAAGAGTACTGCGCAGCACGCGAACTTGCACGACGTCCCAAGCAGTGCGAGCACAACTTCCGCATGCCTTCCCATGTTCCAGCCAAGGCGAGTTGTCCAAAGGTCCACCTCCACCTCTGCGCCTCGTCGGAGAGAGCGCCGCCCGTCTCCGAGCGCCCGTCCGATAGACAGCGCAGCAGCGACCCTATCGAGCGCGCAACTCTGAGGGG